CTTAGTTCCTATGCTATAAACTCCTTTGTTAAAATATCTAGTTTCCACAGATGGACACTGTGGAAAAAAGAAACAGAAAACCATAAAATAATTCCAAGCAGGTAGCCTCGCCACTCTTGCCCTTGGCGTGGAGCTGAGGAGGAGGCTGGGGCAATGAAGCAGGGAGGAATGGATGGGTCCCTAGGAGCCTCAGTTATGTTCCCCTTCAAATTCCCACAAGCAGACGGGATCCTCGTCTGCAAGGGATGAAGGACAACTCCGAGTGAAAGTACTCCACGCCTCTGCGTGCCTGCACTATGTGCACCCATATGCATGCATGTACGGGATCCTCACATCCACCCATGACAGAAGCACTGCTGTTCCCATGTTATAAAGGAAGAAACTAAGGTATTCAGTTGAAGTGACTTGTAAAGGTCACATAGCTATTAAGTGGCAGGGCCAGGATTAGGCCCAAGTTCATGCTCAGCCAGTAAGCATAACTGCTCTCAACCATGTAGCAACTTATACTTAATAAGGAGTCTCCCTCCGCTAACCCTGGTTGGGAAGCCAGGTGACAATGTATGCAAGATTAGAAGGAAAAGCAAGCTGGAATGAAGACACTTGGGAGTTCCTTATTCTCAGTACCGTTCTCACCCCCTGTAGTCTGAACAGGGTCATCATGTGTCTGTGAGTCAGTAAGGACAGTGTCAAAGAAATGATGATGTCCAAAGGCCTTCACAGAAATACCACACTGCTGAGTAGGGGCTTTTCTAAGATGACTGCTGCTTCAGCACAGAGCCAAGTCAATCCATTTGTACCTATAAACCCAGTCTGAATTTGAGGAACATAACTAAATAAAAATGGCATTAACATGACATGCAAATTCCACACACACCCAAACTACTTAAAGTGGCACAGATGGATAAGAAAGAAACCATTCTGTCTTCAGGGGGAAACCTTCTGGAGACAACTCATAGGCAAATGTTGGCTCTACTCCTTCCACTCCTAGCCCTACTGCAGCAAGGGGCTGGGAGGCCTCGGGCCCACAAGGATCTGGCTATGGCCGTGCTACTGGAAGCAAAACAACAGGGACCTGGGGAAAGGGCAGCAGTACACTTACTCCTCCAGGACTTTCATCTTTTCTCCTTTCCTGAAAGACAAGTCGTCTGGGTGGATGCCATCATAGGGGTACAGGGCTACCACAATGTCTCCTTGTTCTTCTGGATCTAAAAAGGAAGGATGCAAGTGAAGACCTTTAAGAACCCATCAGCAGAAATGTTTTAACAAATCCTCATTGGACACAAAGGATGAGATGATGTGCTGAAAAGAGGGGCGACTGTAATAATGGCATGTGTTTCCTTCCTAGTGGGGCTCAGGGCCTACATGGTATATGGCGGGTACCATGCTGTGCACACTGTTTGTAGTATTTATCTCAAATACAGACCTACAACTGTAATTAATTCCAACTCTATATTTAAGAAAAGATACACCCATGTTCATAGCAGCACTATTCATAATAGCTAAAAGGAGGAAACAATCAAGTGTCCAGTGACAAATGAAATGGATAAACAAAAGGTGGCCTATACATACAATGGAATATTATTCAGCCTTAAAAAGAAAATTCTGACACCAGCTACAACATGGATGAACCTTGAAGACATTATGCTCAGTGAAATACGACAGCCACAAAAGGACAAATCCTGTATGATTCCCTTTATATGGGGCACCTAGAGTATCAAACTCATGAAGACAGAAAGTACAATGGTGGTTGCCAAGGGCTGGGAGTTAGTGTTTAGGGTCTAGTTTCAGAGTTTGGGAAAATGAAAAAGTTCTGGAGATGGATGGTGGTGATGGTTGCACAACAGTGTTAATGTACTTAAGGCCGTTGACCTGTACACTTAAAAATAGTTACAGTAATAAATTTTATGTTATGTGTATTTTGAGAGGGAGAGAGAGAGAAAGAGAGAGAGAAAGGAAGGAGGGAAGGAAGGAAGGAAGGAAGGAAGGAAGGAAGGAAGGAAGGAAGGAAGGAAGGAAGGAAGGAAGAAAAGAAAGACACATACATACCCAGGACAATTACTTTTGCTAGTATCTCTAACAGTAAAGAAAAGAAACCCCATGTTGCTATGAAAACATACCTTTAGTTTGAAACCTCTGTCCTGGTAAAAGCTGAGACTCTGTAACCTAGGAGAGAATATTTGTTAGAAAAAATTTTTCTTTAGCTTTTCTTACATTCGTGTTGTATGTTATATCATTTTCCTAACTGTAGCAAATGAGGCTTATATTTGCTAATTTATTAAGCCAGAAAGAAGAGAATTACAGAGAAAAAATTCTGTTGAGCTATGGCCCAACCTACCAGCTCTTCCTTCTAAAAGCAGTCATTTGCCTGTGGGGGCAGGAAAAGAACGGGGCTCTGGGCAGGGGCTGCTAGATGCTTACCCAATCATCATTCTCCATCTTATTTGGTAACAGAACCCTGATATTATTTGGGAGGCAGTTTACCTAGCTGAATGACTACGCTTTTGAATTCTCTAGCATTCTGTGCAGATGGAGAGAAGGAGTGTATCTATAAACAAAATGGTTGTGGGGGCTGGCCGAGTGGCTCAGTTGGTTAAGAGCTCGCTCAAGAGTGCAAGCTCTTAGTAACAGCGGTTCAATGTCCGGCCCGAGCTGAGCAGCCGCTGAGCTGCCAACAGGTGGCAGGGTGGCTCAGCTAAAAGAAAAAAAAAAACAAACCCAAAAAAATGGTTGTGGGGGCTTTGGGGCCGGTTCCCCTTTTGCTTGGCCCTCCTGGTAAAGGCTGGAGTCTCGGCAACCATGAAAACCAGGCACCAGCGACAGCAGAGCAAAGACGGAAATGGCCTGGAGCCCTGGGGACCTTGTGGAACTGCCACCCCAGTTCAGGACTGCTGATCTCCATGTTTCTTAGCCCTCCTTAAAAAACTATAGTCAGGGCTCTGTCACCAGCCCTGAGAACAAGTCCTAACTCATCCAGGCCTTTTATGGCTGACGCTTATTCCATCATGGGGACAGAAGTCATTCCTTATTATTTTATTGGGTTGTTGGAAAAGTCATGACGTATTTTTTTCTATGTTTTTCATTGCAAAAAATGCGTCATGACTTTTCCGACAACCCAATAGTTGAAGGTGAATTATTAGGAAGAGTGGTCTGGTGGCACAAAAGCCACCTCTATTACCTTTTAAATCAGATTCTTTTTCTGTCAGTGACCATGAGAAGGATATATAAGACTTCTTGGACACTTTTAAGGAAGCTACTGTCACAGACCTATACTCACAAACCATGTACCTTTTCTCTTTGATTAAAGTGATTTAAGGAAGTGGGACCAAAACAGTTTGTACTGAAATTTAAATTTCTGATTAAAGTTAGCCCATAAAATCTCCAAAAAGGGGGAGGGAGGAGATTACTATATTTTCTGATATCAGAAAAATCATGGGTCCATATTATCCTTCAATACTTACTTCAAGAGTTTTATACTGATTTTTTTATTCATCTAGATTTGCATAATTAGGATGTATGATCAATTTTAAATGACTTAGAGGAAATAATTAGAAGATGAGAAACGAATTAAATAATTCTGAAAGGAGATGATTTTCAAATATCAAAGAGCCCTTCGTTTACAAATGTTTTAATACATTTTTATAAGACCAAAACACATATATGCAACTCATGTGGCATCCCTCTTTTTCTTTAAAACGTCTTTTCCTTAGAGTGTTGTTGACTATTCATCAGTACAGCCTCACCCTCACATCAGAGCTCCCCTCTAATCAACCCAGGCCATGTATCTTGGCACATTTGGCCAGAGCTGAGAACGTTACCTATGGCCATGGAATAAGGCCAAACTGACTGGCTGGTGAAACAAGGGATCTGCGCCCACAAAAGGCACAAACTAAAATACTTCTGGGAATTGAAAGATTTCAAACATATTTATTACTTCTGCTTTCTAAATTAATTTTTAACCTCCTTTACTCTTAATAAGAGGAAAAATGGTGTGCATGTTTGTACTATTTTCCTTTGCTTTTCTGAATAAAGAATATCTTCATTCATCATTTAAAAAAACCACAAAAAACCATGGGTTTTAAAGCTTGTAAAATCTGGTATATGTGATCCTGAACGAGCCAAATCCTTTTTATGAGACTTTTGAAGTCTATAATAAGGAAACTATTTGTGACTCCAATTCCTTATGTCATTTTATTTTCTACTAATCATACTTATATAATATAGTTCTACATCTATAACTATTTATGTAATTTAAAAAATATATGTACTTATCACTAAATTATTAAAGCTGTTAATAATCTTACACATTTTGAGTTTCTATATAAAATTACAATGTTAATTTATCTATCCAGAAACATCATGTACAATAGAGTCACTCTTCATCGCCACTTCTTTTTAAGAAGGTCAATAGTGACATCAATTTCAACAATGACATGCGACTTTGACATATGTTATACCTGTAGGATAATGAGAAACAGTGGGGGGTGAGGGCTGGCTGACGGGCTTGGTAACAATAATATACTTCTAGAATGCCGAGACATTTAAAAACATATCGGAGAAGAGAAACTATAAAAACACTTAATACAGGCACGTGGGCTAACCTGGAATAAGCTGCTTCCAGCTTAAATGCTGAAGAATTCCATTAAAACCAAGCTATGGAATAATATACATGTATATAGTGAGAGAATTGATGGAAAGGATATAATATCTGAGACGAAGTGCATTTAAGTTTGTAGTTTTCCAAAGTTCTGTTCTTTTTTTCCATGAAATGTGATAGTAATTCTTCCTTTGCCAAGCATTCTCAAATGCATCAAATAGCACGTCACTCATATAACATTTCTGGTACAGATATTTGCCCAAGGTTAGCGGGCAGAATTAGCTGTGTGTGTGTGTGTGTGTGTGTGTGTGTGTGTGTGTGTGTGTTTTAGGTCTTTTAATTACAATATGTCATGATAATTTCAGTATCTGTACTATTATGCATTAATTGAAGAATGACAAGAGCGAATAAAGTATGATATGCCAAAGGTCCTATCAGCACCTATTTTAGCTTCTGAATTGAATGCAGCATTTCCTTCTGTTTCCAGACGATTGCATTAATCTCACTATCCTAAGTCACACAAGCTCAGATAGACATATATATCTTTATATATAAAGAGTGGGTATTCGCACCAGTGCTATGAAAGAGGACTTTCTCTACACATAAGAAGGTGACCAAAGGCCACTTTACTTTACAATAAGTGTCCTGGTTATCCCTCAAATATTCACAAGCTCTTTAATGGATTAAGTTATGAAGCATATAAAAAATTGAGGCCAAAATAACTGATGTGACTTTTGCATGCACATGTTACAGATTTGGTGTTTAAATTATGCAGCCATGCTTTCATCCTGCTGTGGGAATGCTCCCCTGAGACTATCTACTTACTGGCCTTTGCTGTTTATTGGACGTTGGATCTCTCACATAAATAGTTCGGTCAGTATTACGTACTGGTTGCGTCTTCAAATCTATTCCATCGTCATTCACATTGTCTTTCCTTTTTGATTTTATACATCCCATATTTCCTGTTGGAATATAAAAACAATGACATTGTTTTACCAGTCTAGAACCGGCTTCAAGCCACCAAAATCTCTTCATTAATGAGGAATAAAAAGAATATCCTTTTATTTTTCATCATAGATCGTTTAACAAACTCAAGTGTGGATATTGCTCACAGACCAGTTTGCTTGTATATTCATTTGTTCATTCATTCTTTCAACAACTATTTATTGAACATCAATGTTATGTCAGCAAGACATAATCCCTGCTCTAAAGGTGCTCATATTCTTGTGGTAAAGATGTGTGAATTAAATTTATAGTACAATGGAGAGTCAATGATAGAGGATGCACCGGACCTAGGAAAAGACATCTAACTCAGGCAAGAGGAAAGGTGGTGGTCAGGGGAAGCGTCCTGAAGCAAATGCTCTGTGAGTCAAAATGGAAGTGACGTCAGCCAGGTGGCAAAGTCAGTAAAGGGGTTCCAGGAAGAAGGAACTTCACATGAAAAGGACTCACCCTGAGATAACATGGCCCCTGGAATGTCCCATGAAAAGGACTCACCCTGAGATAACAAGGCCCCTTTACGGAACTAGTACAATCTCACCCCTTCAGGGACTAGTTCAAGTTGAGCCCTTCAGGGAACTAGTTCTATCATTCAAAACCCTGTAGCCAAAGAGCAGGTAGGGAAGGCCAGGAGTTGGGCTTGAGTGCAATGCTGAGCAGTTTGTTCATTTGTCCCCCCACGCCTCAAAATGAATGACAATGTTCAAGGTGAAGTGAGGGGGCTTGAAGCTTCAAAGGCAAACATGATTGTGAACTAGAATGCATAGAACCTGGCTCCAGCTGAATGTGGCTTGGGGCCTGGGAGAATGGTGATGGTCCTCACCAAGCCTGGAAATAAAAGAGGAGACACAGATATGGAAGAAGGATGCTTGTAGGAACATCCAAATGACCAAACCCAGTAGGCTTCCCAGTAAGATATGTGAGCGCGGAAACCAGGAGAGAGGCACACATGACGGCATCAGCACGCCATGATTACGCATAGGACTTCAGAGGAAGAACCGAGGGCAGAAGGGGGCTTGCACTGGACCAGAGTAGAGGAACATAACCATCCTTCTAAATGCTATGTTTTGTTTTGTTTTTTTTTTAGCTGAGCCATCCTGCTACCTGTTGGCAGCTCAGCGGCTGCTCAGCTCGGGCTGGACTCGAACCGCTGTTGCTCAGAGCTCAAAC